CCTCCCTCTTGCTCTATCTGAGATACATGCAAAAATATCCTCGGGTGAGGATAAAAAATAAAAGCAGCTGTACATAGAGCCTGAGTATCCAAGTTCAAATCCCACCTCCACCACTTCCTGGCTGAGTGACCTTGGTTTATCTACTAAACCTCTCTGTGCGTCGGCTTCTTCAGTGATATGGAGGTGCCGACAGTGTCCACCTCGGAGGGTTATTGTGCAGATCCAATACGTTCATATACATCAAGCACTTATCACTGTGCTTGCACAGATTAGTGTTCAACAAGTGTTTATAGTTATTAATCGTTTTCAACACCCTTCGCTCCTTAGGCACTTTCCAGGGTCCTTTTCCCACAAACTCTGATGTGTCCCATGTGTTTGAGAGACATTTCTCTTCCTGCTCACCAGCTTCTACCCACACGCTGCTGCCTTTGGGTTCCATGGCTCCAGCATCACCTCCCACCTGGCTTCTTCCCCAGGCCCCGCCTCCAGCTCGGAGGCGAACGGTCCCCGTGGACTCACAGAGGCCCTGCGGTGCAGTTGGGTGGCCTGACTCCAGCACACTCAGCTCCCTCCCGAGGGACAGCCTGGAGGCAGGGGACCCGGCCCGGAGAGCAGACACCTGGGGTGCGGCCCCGGCCTCAGGCGGGCCGAGTGAGAAATGAGCCTCAGTGCTGGGGTCCAGGGCGGTGACGCACGGGAGCCGCGTGCCTTGGTCTCTGCGGGATTCCGGGCCTCCAGTGTCCCACCGGAGGGTGGACGCACGCGGTGTTTGCTGACGAATGAAAGGAGAAATATGGGTTCTGCGCTCTACGTAATGTGGGCAGTTGGATACGAGGAGACAGGCTCGGACGGCAGTTTAGAAAGATGACTCTGATAGTGGTACCTCACACCTACCAGGAAGATCAGCTACTGGAAGTAGAAAGACCAATTTACTTAGTTCTGTCGCTGATTTATATGTTATGATGCTTTATTCTCTGGACATACAAATGTGGTGTTTGTTACGCACTGATCTGGCCTGACCAGGCCTTTACCAGTTCATAAAGCCTACAAATCTCAGGGGCGGTGCTCAGGCTGTGTGGTCCGAGGCACCAGCCCCTTGCCATGGTTTTTTTGAGCACCTGAAGTGGGCTAGTCCAAAGTGATATTCGAGATGTTCTGAAGTGCAACATACACACCCCATTTCAAAGGCCTCGTACAGAACTGGATGGCAAAAGATCTCGCTAGTAATATCTTCTACATATATTTTAAATTTATTTTTCTTTATTGATCTTAGATGAAGAGGAAGGGAGAGGAAGCAGGAGAGATAGAAACCTCCATGACAGAGAACATTGATTGGCCACCTCCTGCACACCCCCCAGGCATGTGCCCTGACTGGGAATTGAACTGGTGACCTCTTGGTGCAGGGTTGACACTCAACCACTGAGCCACACGGGCCCGGCGTAATATCTTCTATATTGATTATACATGGAAATAGTAATATTTTGGCTATTTATGTAAAACAAAACATATTATTAAAATTAACTCCACCTGTTTTTTTTTTGTTTTTTTTTTTTCAGTTTATTTTAATGTAGCTACTATAAAACTTTAAATGACACTGTGACGGGCATGTGTGGCTTGCCCTCTATTTAATTGGGCAGCGCTGCTCTAGGGGGTGTTGTTCTGTGTACCCCTTTGGCAGCTTTGACCCCAAAACAACGCAAATCGATCGCAACGTGAAGGTGCAAACGCTGCAGGAGGTGCAGCGGCCGACTGAGCGGCTGGACGGGGTGCCGGGCACCTCAGAGCCATGTGCAGCCTGCCGGTGTCGGCTCAGCGGAGCATAGAGGGGGAACCAGCATGGACGCCCATCCAAAGAGAGTCGGTAACCGTTACAGAGGACCTTGGGAGAAAATGCAAGAAGGTTCTAACATTTTTTGCAAAAGATTATAGTTATGATTAAGCCATAAAAGTCAACAGAAAAAGAATATCTCATCATATATCAAAAAACACTAAGCCCGGCCGGTGTTGCTCAGTGGTTGAGCGACGACCCATGCACCAAGAGCTTCAATTCCCGGTCAGGGCACATGCCCAGGTTGTGGGCCCGATCCTCAGTGGGGGGCATGCAGGAGGCGGCCAATCGATGTTCTCTGTCATCTATGTTTCCATCTCTCTCTCTCGCTCTCCCTTCCTCTCTAACATCAACAAAGAAAACACCAACCACCATGGCTCAAAGAACTGAGTCAGTGCAGAGTAGGAAAGGTAAGCGGAATTTTGCTGTTAGATACATCCAATTTTCATAATTAGTAGTTTTATTTTAAAATATAAAATCCCAACTGTTTGTCAATTATTTACTATGAAATTTAGTTTCTGATTTTAAGTATATGAGAAATGTTTAGGTGGCCGGTTAATAATAGGGAATCGTATATATTTACATACACAGGTGGGGCAAAAGTAGGTTTACAGTAGTTTGTATGAAGTACTACAATAATTAATAAATAATAGTACAAGAAAAAAACCTGTTTTGGGTACTCACAACTGTAAACCTACTTCTGCCCTACCGTGTATATCCTAAATTTTTACTTTAACGTAAAATATAAATAACAAGGTTTTGTTCTGTGGTTTGAGGATTTTTACCCAGTATTGGCTGGAGGGCCTTAATCTTTTGAGTGTTGGGTTCACTATGTAGAGTCCCATGAATCTTTCTCGCAAATCTCATTATCCATCATTTCCAAGCCTAGTTTTTATAAAGCAAAGTGAAAGGTGATAAGATTCTGGTCATGTAAGTTCCTCTGTTTTAAATGATTTCTTCTCAGTCTTTCACAATCATTCCCACAACTAATTCGACAGAGACTTTCTTCCGTGTCTCACGTTCATTCACTCTTTCGACGCATTGAACTTAGTTTTGGTTGGAACAACTTTCTTTTACACTCACGTGCTAATGTTTTACCGATGCAATGATCAATTTAATAGACTCTGATTAAATTTCCTTAGGACAGTGTCATAGGTGTGACCAGGTTTGGGAACAAGTGAGACGGACCCTGGGGGCCCGTGACTCACCTGGCGGGAGCGCAGGTGTGCGGGTGGGCCACGAGCCTCGGCCCTCGGCACACGGCACCACACCGGGAATGGCGCGGCCGGTGACTGGATGAGTGAGCTACGTAGACGCTGATTAGGAAACTTTCTACTATAATGTCACCCACAGTGTCCTTGTTGGGGCCAATTATCCCATAGATGACAAGATTTCCTTACTCTGAACATCTGGAAACACCTGGGAAGTCTGGCGTCGGGAAACAGCATGAAGAAACCAAGTTCCAGCCCCAGCCTCCCTGTGTGTGTCCCAGAACGTCCATGTATAAGCCCGATACACCACCAGTTTGCTCTGTTCTGAAGATTACACTCTTCCTCTTTGTTTACCTGTGACACAGACCTCACCGGAGGCACACACACACACACACACATACACACACACACACACAGATGGAGCTGATATCCTATCAGAGTTAGCCCGATGAATACCCTCTAATACAAGCCTTTGTAGAAGGGAATGCTTGATTTATTTAATTCTGTAAGGATGAACAACAACCAACAGTGTCTTCAGAGGAGAACACACTCCATGCATGTGGTTAGCAGGTACTTGCCGGACGCTGGCTGAGGCACAGGCTGAAATGGCCAGTGCGCATTAAAGCCGCCCGCGCCGATGTCGGCCAGATCTACGGGCCACGAGGAAGTGCACCAGTGTGAAACTGCTCCAAGTGGGAGTAGGAACTGAAGTGTGACTTGGGCGATTCCCAGAAACACTGTGTGGAAGCAGTGATCTGGAAGCCGCTGGCGTCAAGGTCGCTGACGTCCCAGCATAAAGGGAACCATTGCCATGTTCATCAGAGGGTGGAAATGAAAAGCTTAGAAATACTAACTGGAGTTTTCAGTGTACAAGAAACCTTTGAAGAGGCAGTCTCCTGATGTCATTAAAGAAATCCAATGAAGGTCGTTGGACAAACGCCTTGGTGAGGGGTAGAAAGCAGGAGCGAACAGCGCCAACACCACAGCTGGTACCTCACCGGTGCTCAGGACAAACTGGCAGTAGTCCCACGGGTTAAATTCTCGTAAGAAGATTGTATCACTGCCCTGCAGAGGAGGAACACCCTTCAGTCAAGCATGTCCTTTGATTATTTTTCTCTCTTAAAAAAAAAAAAAAAGTTTTTCAGTTATAGATGCGTAATGACAACCCAAATATTTACATAAAAGATTAAGGAGAAAATGACTCAAAGCACCAAAAGCTAGGCAAAAGACCAGCACTGAGGTTTGTCCCCGGTGGAGCTTGTGGACAGAGGAGGTGGGAGAGCCGGGCAGTGTGGCATTTGTCACGCCTGTCACTTGGTTCCCTTTTCATCACTAAAAACAAAAAAAGAGGCAAAAGGGACTGTTTTGCTGGAATCCCTTCTACTTTGCTACTCTGGCCAAACGGCAGAATTTTTAAAGCTAAGGCATCCACTTCCTTTTCTTTCGGTTACAGGTGCCTGGGTAGGTGCGTGCCAGTGTGAGGGGGTTTGGATTTAACAGGAAAGAGGAAGGTATTTTCATTTAGGGCTTGGTGGGCGGGGCCATCCGGGAAGACCCGGGCAATAACTACTCTGGTTTGGACGATACACATGGCTACCAGTAGAAAAGCGTGTAATTACAGCCTACACGTGGACTGAAAATATTAACAGATTTACCTGAGCTTCCAAAGCTCGCCCGTCGGATGTGGACCGAACAGTGCCTCTGGCAGGGCGCTCGCACAGGAAGCTCGGGGAACGGGCGTCTAGAAAACCCCTGGGCGCCCCGTCCTCCTTGGTGAACACTTACCCGGGGAAGGAGCTGCCCTAGATCAATTCCAAGAAGTCAGAGGGCGGTTCTGCAGCCGTTTGGACTCTGGTCTTAGTCCTCCAGGAGGAACAGAGCGCCGTCCTCGCGGCTCAGGAGGGGGCCCGCCCCACCGTCTCGGGGCTTCGCGGTGCCGGGTCACGCTGCCTCGCGTGGGTGGCGGAAGGGTTCCCGTCGCCCACACGGCGGCTGGGGGGTTGGAGCGAGACGTGAACTCGACGCGGCGGCTCCACAAGCCCGAAGAAGGTCAGAACCATTACCAGGTAAACGTGCGTTTTCACTGCAAAGCACCTTGGGGCCCCGCCCAGGGGCCGGAGGGTCGGCCCGCGGGGTGGGGACGGGGCGCAGGGACGTGCTGGTCCGGGCGTCGGAAAACCTGGCCGCGGGGACCCGGAGCACCTCCGGCTCTCTGGTCCCTCCCCAGGCGCGCAGCGGGCGGCCCTGCGCCCCGGGGCCGGGCACACCCGAGCAGGTGTCTCCAGCCGAGCGCGGGGTCGGGTCCCAGACTCAGGGCTTCAGCTGGGGAACAGCCGCCCCCAGGACGCTGCGAAGTTTTATTTGCAGCACGAGGGGGCGTGTAGGGGGAGCGAGCGGAAGATTCGAAAAGCTGGGAAAACACTTTATTTCTTTGGTCGCGGCAGCGTGTCCGCGGGACGTTAGGTCGCGTCCGGCGGGGTGGGGGTGGGGGTGGTCCGTGGCGGCTCCCCGACGCCCAGGGCAGGTGACAACTGTGAGCGCGGTCGCCGGAGTCCCCTGCACGGAGCGCACGCCGGCACCCGAGCTGCAGTCCGCTGGGGAGCGCGCCCGCCGAGGCCCCTCCTGTCGCAGGGGCGGCGGGACCACCTGGCGGCGGCGCACACGGCGTCCCCCTACCTGCGGCCCGTTTCCCCTCCCGGCGTCCCCGCCCCCGGCCCCGGCGTCCCCGGCCCCCATCCTTGCCCCACCCCCGCGCGCGTGCGTCCCCTCCACCTGCGGCCCGGACCCCCGGGCCCGTGTCCCCGCCCCCGAGGTCCCGCCCTCGCGCGCGTGCGTCCAGGCCCGGCGGCCGCGCTCCCGCATTGCGCAGGCGGCCTACGCTCCCCCGCCCGCCCCCCGGGCGTCCCCGCCCCTCCCCCCGCCCCTCCCTCCGCCCGGCGGACGCGGCCGCGACAGAAAATGGCGGCGGCGGCGGGGACTCGCGCGTCGTCGTCGGGACTCGCGGGCGCGGAGGCGGGCGGGGGGTCCCTGCAGCCGGGCGGGGGCCGCGAGCGGGCGGACTGGCGGCGGCGGCAGCTGCGCAAAGTGCGGAGCGTGGAGCTGGACCCACCGCCCGCGCCGCCGTCCCCGTCCCGGTCCCCGTCGCCCGAGCCCGCGGGCGGCAGCTCTGCGCAGCCGGTGCCCGAGCCGCCGCCCCCCGGAGCCGCGAGCCGCGCCGGCGCCCACGCCCCCGAGCCGGGGGACAGCAGCGACCCGGGCGCCGCGGGGACGGAGCCCGCGGAGCCGCCTCCTGCAGCCGCCGGGTGAGCAGCGGGCGGGACGGGGGCGCGGGCGCGGGGAAGGGAGCGCTCCGACCCCGGGGACCCGGTCTGTGATTGTTCGCGGCCGTGTGACAGGCGTGCGCGGGGGCCGCGGGGACCCTCCGCCGGGCGCAGGGCGAGCGGCGAGGCCCGCGGCCGTGACAGCGGGTCCCGGGCAGGTGCGGGCCCGGGCCTCGGGGGCGGCTCTCGGGCGCCTGCCACGGCCGCGGGTCGGCCTCGTCCGGGCGCGGGGCGCCGTGCTCCGGGGACGCGGCTGCAGCACGAGGACCGCAGTGACTTCTGTTGGCAGTTTGCGCAGGGCCTTCGTGTCCTGGCGGCGGCCGCGGTCCCCGCAGCCCCGGGCGAGGCTGGGGCCCCGCTCCGCACGCCGACCCCGGGCCGGCGCAGCCGCTGGGGCGGGTCCGCGGGGCGAGGGGCTCACACCTGCGGGTCGCGCCGGACGCATTTTCCTGCGAAAGGGCCCTGTTTTCGGTGTGACAGCGGTCATCCGTGGTTTACGAAATCTGACCAGTGTATGCAGAGCACAGTCGGGGGGGGGTGGGTGGAGGAGCTGGAAGTGTTTCTGTGCCGGTCACCCGCTGCCCTGTGCAGTTCCTGACCTTTATTCGGAGTGTTTCCAAGACTGTCCACACTGCAATTTGGGGCTTCGGTTAATTTTCTAAAGTGATTTGGCACTTTAAAAAAACTTGATTCCTTATTTGTTTAAAACCGCAGTGTATGACTTGGAAGTCGCCCCCTCCCCCCACATACACACCCTAAAAAATACGCTCCCCGCCTCGCCCTGGCTGCACGGGGAGACGCTCCTGGCCGATGGTTTTCTGCGAGCTTTCGCAGCTCGGTCTGGCTGGGGCTGTTTCTGCTCGCCTGCTGCTGGGCGCCCGCTGCAACTTCACAGCGTACCCCTTTGAAAGTGATGGTTGCTGCGGATGAGTTCCAGATACAGGAGGAAACCCCGAATTCGCTGAGTTCACTGTACCTGTTCTTGTGAGAACACCCTTTCGGATGCGGCGGGTAGTTCAGCAGTGTCAGCATCTGGCCTGAACCGGCCGTGAGCACAGAGGCCGCAGTAGAAGCATGTGCAGAAGTGGGTTAGTGTGGTCTCGCTGCAGAATGAGCCTCCTGCAGCCCAGGCAGGTAAATCCCGGGCTGCTAGGCGTCCATGTTTAACTTCTGCATTTCTTAATCTAGGTCTGCCCCGTTTTTGTCTCAAGAGCACGGTGTGTGAAATAATGGCCTAGTCAGCACAACTGATTTTTTAAAATGAATTTCACTAGCTGGAATGCTAGTTTGTTCACCCCAAATGTCATACCTAAAGATTTTATTTATGGTAAAAGATTTATTCTCCAGCTTTTGAAATACAGTGAACCCCCCCCCCACCACCACCATTTCCTTGTCAGTAGGGTTGAAATTTGTTTGAATCTGTTGATATCAACACTTTCATTATAAGCTGTTCAATAAAATCCCAGTTGAACTCTACGTTTTAATTTTCTTGACAATAGTTACATTCATACTTCAGGAAGAAAACCAAACAGATTTTGAACTAGTGTTACGTTTCAGTAGTATTGTGGGTCTGGGACCCCTCTTTCTACAGAGAAGCCTATGATATTTTATTTCAAAATTCCCTTCTGTTTTTTTGTCGTTGGATGTAGAAATTGAAAGCATAGAAAATACGTCTGTGAAGTATAAATTATGTAAATAATACTCGTGTTAAAAATAGAAGATTTTAAGTCTGTCCCTCTTCTTCAGGGTCATAACTGAAGTCAGTGAAAGCCCTGTGCCTGTATGTGGCGCCCAAGGGTTTGGAATTTTTCCTTATATTGCAGAATTAGGGGCTTTTTCTTCCTCCTTACCGTCTTTGAAGAAAAATTACAGTGTTACTCTCCATTGAACAGGCTATTGTAAGTTTGGTAGATACAGTTACTCCTTCCTATTTTTGTAACTTAAAAAAGCCTGGCTATCACTTTGCTGGCCCCGTGAAAGAACAAGATATCTGAACTTGTTAATGCTGGTTTTTGTTTTAAAACTGAAGCCGGTTCATAGGCTGCTTTTATACCGCTTACAGCGCTCAGCTTTTACTTCCTGTCAGAAGCTGCTAGGCTAAAAATATAACATAGTGGGGGGGTTTTTGTTTTCTTTTGACTAGAGGAGGTATAGGAACATTATTACCTAAAACTATTTTTTTTAAAAATTAAGTTGGTAACTTTATAGAACAATAGAGGTAGTTACATAAGTTAATCTTATATGAATTTGTAAGTTTTGTAGCTATGAATTGTCTCCGAGTTCCATTTTAAATCAGGTAAGAGAATTAATGCATTCTTCAGAGATTAACCTTATTAAATATAATTCTGAAAGAGAAATATGAGAGCTAGAATTGTTGCCAACTTTTGTTTTCTTTTCATATCTGATTTTGGCAAGGGTGACTGGTTAACCAGCATTCCTTAACATATGATTTCCAATACACCATAATAACTCCATTTTGTTGGATACAGAAAGCAGGAAGCGGCCCTGTCCGGAGACACTGCCTCGCCTCTCCTGTCGCACCTCCATACGCTGCCTGTTTTAGAAATGGTCGCTGACTTGTCGACCTGAAGGTTGCAAAACGTGAAAGACAAAAAAAAAAAAAAAAGGGTGTTCTTTGCTTCCAACAAGAGCAAAAGAACCAGCTACAGCTTGCCCAGGCCGCCTGTGATCGGCCCTTGCTGGCTGTGAGCATTCCAGAGGTGACTGGGTGGCCTGGCGGTTCCCCCGACAGGACGGGGTCCCCTGGGGGTGGATGGGCATTCACAAGTGCTCCGAGTTGGAAATCACAACCTCTGCATTTTGTAACCCGTTTTTCCGGGTGAGGAGGCATTCCCTGTGAGACGGGGCCGGGGGAAGGCAGGGAGCGGGGAGACCGTCGGCAGGGCCGCCTGGCGCTGCGGGCCTCTCACCTGCACAGCCTGCTGCTCTCCATAGACCAGGTCTGTCCTTCGAGCCGCCGTTCTCAGCCTGACCTCCTTGATACCTACGTCAAAAGCTGGCGCTGCTGAGCAGTGGAAGTGGGTGGGGGATTAATGGGAGGGCTTGGGCAAGGGAGTAAACCCAGGTTGTCTTTGAGAAGCACTTGAACACTTTGCACCATGAAAGAAAGAACGAGGAACAGTCTGAAAGCAAATGGCTCGTTGCAAAGCACCGAGATGGGCCCGTGGTCTTGTCGTCGCAAGAAGAGGGTTTTAGCTGTGGCTGAGGCGTGTGTTCTGAGCATAAAGGGATGTTTAGATTCCTTTTCCGTGGTCACCTTCCTTGCCTACCACGTGTCAGCACCGCCACCCTGCAGGGCTCACGGTGCCTGTCTTTGAGAGGAGGAAGCGTTAGCTAAGCTAGAGCTGTGCTCACACAGCCCGAAGACAGCCAGGACTCCGACTCCAGCGCGGCCGACCGCACAGGCCGCTTTTCGGCCCGCTCCCTGCTACCTCCGTTTCTTTTATAATTAATCTTTGAACTCATTGATGACTGTTCAAGGAGGAAGTTGTTCTGTAATAAACCGATAGGCTTCTCCCCAGTGCCTTTGTCTCCTGATATGTAGATAAACCGGCGCGCTCTGTAACCCGGCCTCGTACATGTGATACAAGTAAACTACTTAGCTCGTCATCACCTCCTGTCAGGCAAGGGAGGAATTGATTGGAGCCGAGTGCTTCGTGCATGTCTTGATCTGTGCTTGATCTGTGTTAAGTCCTAAGTGGGAGAAATGAACACCCCTCCCTCAC